GGAAGAAATCACTGTGACTGTTAGACAACCACTCATGTTATCTACTGAGCCCTGGAACAGAGAAATGTATCAGAGGTAAAACAACCAACTTATATACATCGATCTACTACAAATTTACTGAGGTCTGTACTATCAGCTAGTGGCTTCCCAGAAACTGAACATAGCCAGGTAAGCAAAGACAACATGGTCTCTGTGCTCAACAGAAATTTAAGTCTGATGGGAAATACAAACATCAATAAAATAATTACACACATAAATACATGATTATATTACTAAGTGCTACGTAGGAAGGGTACTCTGAGAGCACTTATACCATAAAATACTCTTATGAGTCAAAGAAAAATACTTGAACAAGTGATATCTAAGTTAAGAACTGAAGTACTAACAGAAATAAAGTCAGCCAAGAATGGAGGAGGAGAGCATCTCAGGTAGATGGAATTGCATACATGAATTCCCTGAGGAAGGAAAAAATTAAACACATTCAAGGAAATGAATGGCTGATATGCCACAGCAAGAGGGAAAACAGGAGTTAAATTCTACAGCAAATATATGCTGAGCACAAGCTCTGTGCCAGGCACTGCTCTAGGCACTTGGGATACGTGAATACATAAAGCAGAATCTGATCTTCTCTGAGGGAGCTTATCTTCTGAGGGAATCACACAAGGATTACTCAATCTTATCAAACATTTTAGTCTTTACTCTTAAAGTGAAACCCTAGAAATATTTTATTGAAAGGAGGTTTTTCATTTTTCTCTCCCCTCTACCGTCGTAAAGACTGATGGAGAAACAGATTTAAGGCATGGGTGCTGGGAGATAATTAAAAAGCTCTCACTCTCTCCAAATGAGGGGTGACAGGGAGAGCAATGGAAAGGGAGCTGGGTGGGGAAATTGGAAAGGCATTTAGAAGAAAAAATAAACAGAATCTGGTGAGATTGAAAAGAAGAGGTAAGGGAGAGTGAAATGTCAAATAAGAGTCCTGGTTTCCAGAGTGCACAACTAGATAAACTGGTGCCAAGCCTCAAGTTAGGGAACATGGGAGAACGGATAGTCTATAAGGAATTTGTTTACAGACATATTGAGCCACATGGAGTCAGAATTTAAAGACAGCTCCATATTAAAGATAAAAAATTGGAAGTCAACAAGAGTAGAGAGAGTAATTGAATCCATAGGTATAAATGTGAATATGAAACAACAACAACAAAAAAAAGTCAGGACTGAAACTTAAAATTCCATCATTAAAGGCCAGGAAGTAAAGAATGACTCAGTTAAGAAAAATGATAGTCTCCAGAGAGGTAGGAAGAAAATCAAGACACTGTGGGACTCAATAAGCCAGTGGAGGAGTATTTTAGAAAGAAGAGTATGTAAAGCAGAGCCAAATGCTTCTGAGAGATCAAGCACAATGAAGACTGGGCAAAGTCCTCTGGCTTTCAGGAGAGAGGTCATTGAAGAGCCATTATGTGTGGTAGGTTGGAAAGAGGGTCAGGAGTAAGTGTCCGTGAAGGAAAAAAAAGAACTAGGGTAGTAACTGAAGGAAAAGGCAGGCAGAGGTAAGGGTGGAAGGATTTAAGAAGATCTGAGATCATCTTATGTAAAATAGCAACACGAAGTCCAGGTGCAGTGGCTCACTTGAGCACTTTGGGAGGCTGAGGCAGGTGAACACCTGAGGTCAGGAATTTGAGATCAGCCTGACCATTATGGTGAAATCTCATCTCTATTGAAAATGCAAAATTAGGTGTGGTGGCGTGTGCCTGTAATCCCAGCTACTAGGGAGGCAGAGACAGGAGAATTGCTTGAACCTGGGAGGCGGAGGTTACAGTGAGCCGAGATCACACCACTGCACTCCAGCCTGGGTGACAGAGTAAGACTCCATCTCCAAAAAATTAATTAAATAAATAAAATAAAATAGCAACACACCTCCTCCAAACTCCTTATTGTCTTTCTTTAATTTTTCTTCATTGATTTTATCAACATCTGGCATATTATATATTGTACTTGCTTTTAGCATTTTATTTGACTTGCCACTGGAAAATAAGTTTCTTGAATGAATAAATGAATGAAAGTGAGACAGGTATGTGTACATGTGTATACATATAAACATGTTTAAACTAACAGTGACCTGAGAATATTTAAATGATGAGATAAGGAACTCAGAAGTACACAATGGTTGTGGATCTAGGACTGGGAACAGATAACGATAGGAATTAAGATTTCTGAGAATATGGGCAGAAAAAGGACAGAGAACCCAGGTGGAGGGGCACAGAACAATCCCTCCAGTCTAACAAGAATATGGTAACAGGAGAGAAGGAGGGGAGAACAGCAACAGACAGAAGTATGTCTATCAGGTTTGGTGATGGGAAAGTGAGGGCCCTCCTGTCTGGTGACTTCTATTTAGTATGTAAAACTAGAAGAATGAAGTCAACTTTGAAGAGTATAAAAGGGTAGATTTCTGTGATCCAAGGAGGCTAGAAGAAGAGTAGTGATCAGAGGCTTAAATGGAATAAAGAAAATGCGAATACTTATCAGATATCATACACGGGTACAGGCACAGATGGACGGGTATGTGTACATACATTTGTATATAAGTCTTTAAAAAGTATATATATAAACATACTATATTACTTAACCATCATAATAACCCTGTAGGACAGGTATTACTGATCCAATTTTATTGATGTGGAAGCTGGCTCAATCATTAAGACTAAATAACTAGGTCAAGATGATATAGGACCACTGATTAAAATCCTTTAACTGCCGTCAGAATTCACCAGTGTAGTTTCAGATGTCCTGTTATAATTTTCGATTATAACTCACACTTTTGTTTATATAACTTATGACAACTGTAGGTATGTAGTTTTATATTAGTATTTGTCAAATGCCTATTTCTCCCACTAGACAATGAGTTCTAAAAAGCAATAAACCATGTACCTGGCACAGAGTAAAATGTCTAATAAATGAAAAAATAAAATATAGAGCTATTTTTTTAAAAGCTACCAATTGGTATTAACTATTGAAGGGAATAATCTGGCAATGGTTACTCTGTTTTAAAATGTGCATATTCTTACTCAGTGATATTATTTATATGAATCTATATAATAGAAATAGACAATAGAGTATGTATATGGTTGTACTGATGTATATAAGGCTTTGTACTTGAGATTCCTCTGTAAGAATAAAAAATGAAAACAATCCAATTATTAACAAAGCAAAAATAAAATAAATTGTGATGTGTCTGAGAAAAAATGCATGATTAGTATAGATTTTTATATTTAAGTGTGTATAAAGATAGCAAGTAAAGTTGGGAAGGTTTTATGCACATAAAGGTTAGAGGTTATTTCTGGGACGTGGGAATGAAGGAGAAAAAGGAACGACCATATAGATAAAATTGGGTCAGTAACACCTGTCATATAGTGTTATTATGATGGTTAAGTACTATAATATGCAGTATGTTTATATATAATTTTTAAAGACATATGTACTAATGTATGTGCACATATCCATCCATCTATATCTGTGCCTATCTACCCAGGAAAACAGCCTTTATCTATAGTAAACCACCCAGGGAGCCAGCATGCTGTAATCTAGACTTGCAGGAAGCCAGACTGCTATCTCTAGTGACAATCTAGGAAGCTAAACAGTAACTTCTATAACAATTGATTAACAACTGACAGCTTCCCTAATTTTGTCACTGCTTCTAACTAGGACCAACCAGAGAAAGCCAAGTATGAACTTCTAACCAATCACAAAGACGCCCTATTTCTAGTCAGCTGGTCTATGGCTTCTCCATGCCAGCAGCTTTCCATCAGGGCATACCTGAAGGCTTCCCTTTTCTTCCCTCTATAAACGTTTCATTCCTTTACCTGCTTTTAATTCTCTGCCAAGATGCAGGTGATGATTGGCTGACTCCCGTGCTACAGAAAGCTCGAATAAATAGCCTTTGTTTTTCTCATTCAGTTATTCTCTGTTTCTAGATGGTTCAACTTGTCTTCCATAGTAATAGAAGTTTAACTAGACGCATGGTCGGCTGAATGAAGACTTTATTTTCCAGCCTTCCTTGCAGCTGGATAGGTACATGAGACTACTACATTCTGGCCAAGGGAATGAAGCTGAAAATGTTGTGTGGCAGGCAGCATGCAGGAATGTGCTTTAAGAGAAAGCCTGAATGTACTCCTTGTCCCTTCAAGCCTAGTGTGACTGAATAAGCTAGAAACAGGCTGGATTGCTAAAATAATTTTGACAGAGCAGAGCTACCATACAGGCCCAACTTTTATGTGACAGAGAAGTAAGAACAATAACAATAATAATGGCAGCAACAGCTACATTTACATAGCCTTACAATGTGTGAGGCATTCTTCTAAATTCTTAACAAATATTAATTCAACCATTAAAATAATCCTGTGAAACAGGTTCTATTATTATTGTGTTTTTTAGAAGATGTGACACAGAGAAGCAACTGGCCCAAAGACAAAATTTTTAAGCTACTGTTGCTTATGGGTTTCTATTAATTGCAGCTGAACTTAAACCCAATTAATATGCCCTTAGAAAAGAAAGCTAAATAACTTTTATGTGGCCAAGGTAGGGGTTGATATCCAAGGTCTGACTGCAAATCCCACTTTCTTTGATGGATCCCTCCCAGAAATAGGTCAGGCTGCTCTAGAATCACTTTCTACCTCTTTTACTCATGTCCAGAGACATAGGATCAAGGGTCTGCTCAGAGAATCAAACAGCAAAAATGTAACTTGACTTACAGAAGACAAGTATGTTGGCCTCTTTCCAAGTTGGTTTTGGGGTGTTCAGATTTTTAAGCTGACCAGTGTAAATATCACCAAGTAAACCAGTTTCAGAATTATGATCACTAATCATCTATTTATTACATATCTACCAGATAAGCCTTGCATTGAGGTCTTTAGTTTAAAACACCTAATATCCCTATATATAGTTTAACAGGCAATTCTATTAGGGAAAAAAAAAAACCAAAACGTTAACATTTTTAAAAAACTTACCTTTATCATTCTGGATAGGTCGCCAGCATCTGCCAGTTCCAACACTATGTTTAGTTCATTATCTTCAATGAATGAGGCATAATATTTTATTACATTTGGATGGTTGAGTTGCTGAGAAAATAAAACAGGCATCAGAAGGTTTTTTTTACTGTAAATTTCCAAGAATCACTTACAGTTTTGCAACTTAAGAACAAACAACCGCATTTTTTAAATTACAGAAATCTTAACATGACAGTATATTTTTCTTTAGTGAATTTTGAAACAAATACGGCAATTATTAAAAGTAAACCCCAGGTATAAATTAACTTAATCTTAATATTCTTTATTAGGAAGAATATATTTTATACTTAAATTTTAATTTAAAAGTACCGCTATGCCCAATAAGCGTATCAACAGATGCAAGAAGTAAATGACAGAATTAGGTCACCAACTGCTAAAAATTACATCCTTCAAAATGAGAACTTTCATTTAGGAACACTCAATGATAAATAAAGATCCCTTTTTACTCCTACTTTGAAGTTACAGCTGGTCCTAGAATAACTCCAGCTAGTAGACAAAACACAGTTGGTATCTACTATGCTATATCTTATATCTACCTATTGCTTTTATATCAAATAATATAAGCATACAAGACTTATTTATGTGAGCCAATTCATAAAATCATCCCTAAGAAAAATTTTTCCCTGTATAAATATATGTATCAGTCCCTACTCATTTACAATCTTTTTGTTCAATCTTTAAACACATTAATACAAGATGAATTGTTTCTCAGAGAAATTATGTAGGACGTATGGGTAACTTTCTCCAACCTAAAGTTTTCTCCCCAAATTTCCTAGGATGACATGCTATTTCTACAGCAAAAGTTTATATATTTAAGCCAGCTACTTCACGTGCCAGGAAATAACTACAATTAACAAAACAGTCAGAAAACACAGTTTATTTTGACCTTACTCTTTTCCTTTCTGTAAATCTGGTTCATCTTAGGCACTAACACAAATGGACAGCATTAAAAAAACAACCAAGTCTTAGCTAAAAGCTAAAAATACAACATAAGCCATGGCATTTCTCAAAAGAAACTTCACTAGAAAAGAATCAGTGCAAAAATAACTGAAATCTCAGTGATATTCTTAGTGGATGAGAAACTAAAAAGCTAATTCCTGGCATACTCTATATGCATTCTCTCTAAATCTGGAAAAAGGTTTTGAAACATTAGAAGATGCATGTGAACCATTTGGATTAGCCCACATTCTCAATATAATACATGTGGAGATAATACTCATTTGTATTTATATTACTTAACCGTTAGAATATGTCTTGTTGCGGTGATCAAGAAAAAAAATTCTTCAATGTTTTATGCCCATTTTATCTATTTCCTAGTTTGAAATGAGAAACAAAAGCTGATCCTACCAAACGTTCTGATCACATTGTTTAACAACAAATCCAAAAAATAATTACATTCTTCAATATACTGAGATTCAACCTTACATAACATTACCTGAAATCAGTGTAGCATCTTAAAAATCTTTTTGTGTTTAAGTGTGATGTTTTAGTAAATCACTTTTATCACCATGTCCAGATATGTTCAAAATAGTCAACAGTTTGTTATTTACCTTAAGAAGATCTATTTCTTTGATACAATCAGCACGTGCTTTGGCATCCATTAAATCAAATATCTAAAAATAGAACCCAGAATTATTTAATAAAATGATAACCTATGGTTCAAGCTATCATGTAAATTCATTTTTAATACTCTACATGTAATTATATGTACACTAAGGAATTTTCTTTCTGATTATGGAGGTCTGTAGGCATCTTATGTTACCAACAATGCTTATATTTTTGGCAGTCAAAATTTAAAAATGGATAAAGAGAAGTTAGATAACCCTGAGTAGGTCTTAAGCTCCAGTAAACAAAATTAAAGTTGTGATTATTAAGATGATAAAGTAATGGCTAATATATGATGAGCAATCAATATATGCTAGATATACTGCACAACCTTATGAGGATGATAATAGTAGTATTCCCATGTTACAGAAGAAGAGAAGCTTTAGAAAGTTAAGAGACTGACAAAAGGTCACACAGCTAATCAACAGAGCAAGCAGAATTCATTCTTATCCAACTAGAACCCAAGTACTGAACCATTCATCTGTTCCACCAGATCACGTCTAAAAGGTCTGAAGTATGCATTCTTGACAAGGGTGGTATTATTCCAAGGGGGTGAAAAATGGTCCTTTGAGGAGAAGGGTGACAAAATTTTACGCTATTAAGTATAAAGCATAGATACACATACAGTACTGCAAATAAATAGATATACGGTATTTGCGGTATTAAAATTTCATGGGTGGAGGTAATTAGGAAAACATGTCTAAAAAGGCAGCTTGGGGGAAAGACAATGAAAAAAAGTTTGAAAAATATTAACTATTGTTAAAAACATAAAAATAAATAATACAATCAAAAAGATATTTCATGTGTCTCTGAAAACACAAATCCTCAACGTTCTAAGCGTGTGGAAAATAACATTAAAAAGATATCTTAGAGACTGTACACATACACACAAAACTAAGTCAATACTGCAAGCTGATTAAAACACTGATTACATAATAAATAAAAAAATTAATGACATTTTTAGTCATCAGCTTGATCAAGTCTTCCTGATTCAGCCAGCCAACATTCCAGGAAAAGAAGGTACAATGTGAAAGGAGTGACAGAATCCAAGTCTTTTTAATTAAAGAAGTAGTTATTAGACACCTACCAGAGAGGGTTGGCCTCTTTACATATGATGTTTAAACTTCCTCGCAATCTTATAAAATAGATAGTAATGGTCCCGATGCCAAGATGAGGATTAAGGCTCAAAAAGATTAAATAATATGCTTATGATCATAAAACTAGTAAGGGACAGAATTAGGACTTGAAGCCATATTGTTCTAGCTCCACAGTCAGCGTTTTCGCAATTAGCCAGGCTGTTATGAAATCTAATGCATACGCAACTAACTAATAAGTATTAAAATATATGCATGTGCAAACTGTAGTATTAGAAACCTACGGAAGGAGTTCCTCTCATGTAGGGAGGGGGTAACATTAGAGGTGAACCTTGAAAGAATTATAGGATTCTGCCAGCCAGAAACAAAAGATACCTAATGCATGAAAGTAAATAAAGATTAAGGGCATATAATTACAGCTTCTAAGAGGCAACTTTTTCTAGGTATCATTCTTAATATCCAAAGATACACGAAGTTCTGATTTTTTCTAAATTAAAAAAATGAAGAAATTAGATAAGATTATAAAACAGAACTAAAACCCATAAACTCACTGCCTTAAAGAATTTTAGCTGTGCTCAGTCCCTTCCATTTCTTGTAAAAATACATGTGCTTTTCACACAGTGAAAATAACAGTATATAAAATTATATATATGCTTTTTCACTAACATTATATCAAAATAGTTTCCTATTTTGTTTCTACTACTTCTAATGAAAACTTCAAACATCAAATTTACATTCTGCAACTTTTAATGTAAAACAGTTGAGCACTGTATATTGTTAAGATTTGAAAAAATATAAAGCCTTACCTTAGTTAATGGTTTACAAAAAGAGACAGGCTAGATTACATCAAAGTCTCTCCCGCTTAATCAAATAACAGAAGAACTATGTATGCTGGTACATATATTAAAAATACTAACTTCTTTTTTCTTCATTAGCAGTAATTCTAACCATGTCAGCCACAGTGAACTCACGTTAACTACCATGATTTCAGAATGGAATGCAATGGAACAACAGCAAGGAAAGGAAAAGGGGGAAAAAAAAAGGAAGGTCTATGAGTGGCAAATCACTGCCACAAAGTTTGCATAAACTATCTAATGAGATATGTTTTGGCACACATGAAGCTGTTGTATACATCAAACTTTAACAAATGGGCTAATAGGTTAGATATAAATGGACACCAGTGGCACGGGTTAAAAAAAAATACCAGTATTATAGAACAAACCATATGACTCCATTAATGGAAAGAAGAAAAAACCTTGCTGAAATTCTCTCGAAGAGCACCATACTTTTACTCTATACATAAATGATTAATATGAATAAGTACTGAGTACTAACAACCTGAAACTGTTAATGTCCATGCTTTCTACATATAAAAATCCATGCTGAATGCCATCTTACTATCACATTTCATTACAGATACAAATAAGAAAACCATCTTGCAGTGCTTTAAGATGTACAGTGTCAGATGCAGAATGCAACACAGAAAATTAACATGCAGTTTGTAAGTGCTACTTGTATCAAGTGATGTAAGAACGTTAACGGGGGTGAGTATGGCTGGTTGGTAGGGCTCTCACTAGCTGATTTATATAAGCAGGAATGCGTAATGCCCTTCAGCAAAAAAAATATATATATATGTATAAAAATAAGTACAATTGAAAGTTCTTGACTTAAAGGAATAAGCTTTACATCTAGCAATTTCACATAGAAATGCCATTCATTCCCCAAAAGGGATTACTATATCACATGTTAAACCATAAAACAAACACTAATGGAAATCGAAAAATTTGAACTTGATGTTAGTTATAGGTATGAAACACACACACACAGACTACCTGCACTTTAAAATCAAAATGGCATGATAAATAAATAACTGACTCTTGACACATCACGAATGCTGATGTCATTGTCAGGAAATGCTAGTTACAAGGAATTTGAGATAACTCAAAGATATGCGGGAAAGCACAAAATTGTGTCCCAGATCTTGATGGAATTCCTGGTATTTTGTTTGTTTGTTTTAGGAGACAGAGAAAAAATAATGCCCATATAGTACCAGTAATTAAAATGAAGAAACTCACAAACTTGGAGATATATATAACATATAAATAAAACATATATATATATATATAAAATCTTTCAGTAATCAATGTCTCTATGATGTGGAACAACGTTTTTAAAAAACAACAGAGGGTGGTTGAGATGAGAATGAATGATATGTGTAAGATTTTAGGAAACCATAACGAGATATAAAATATCAAGACAGGAACATGCTACATAGAAAATCTTTAATTCAGGTTATAAAAATTAATTTACAATTACAAACTGACTAATTTTTTTTTCTTTTTTTTTAAATTGTACTTTAGGTTCCAGGGTACATGTGCAGATCATGCAGGATTGTTGCATAGGTACATACATGGCAAGGTGGTTTGCTGGCTTCCTCCCCTCCTCACCTGTATCTGGTATTTTTCCCCATTTTACCCCTCCCACCCCCGCTGTCCCTCCCCTAGTCACGCCCAGCTGACTGCAGTTTGTGCTGCTCCCCTCCCTGTGTCTACGTGTTCTAATTGTTCAACATACACTTATGAGTGATACCATGTGGTGTTTGATTTTCTGTTCTTGTGTCAGTTTTCTGAGAATGATGGTTTCCAGATTCATCCATGTCCCTATGAAGGACACGAACTCATCATTTTTTATGGTGATAAAAACCACATAGTATTGCATGGTTTATATGTGCCACATTTTCTTTATCCAGTTTATTGTCGATGGTCATTTGGGTTGGTTCCAGGTCTTTGCTATTGTTAACAGTGCTGTAATTGACTTTTATTTTTAACTGAAATTTCAATAATATCAAAAGTCACTCCTCAAATGCAGGGAGAAATAAGCATTGTTGATACATCTAAAGCAAAACTAAATTCTGAGCCAAATACATTTACAAATACATTTAACTCGAAATTCAGAAGTATCTTATCTTTCTTTTTCTCTTAGCCAGCAAGTCAAGACAAAAATAAATACTTAATCTTTAGATTAAGTCATTCCCAAACAAAGATTCAAAGCTGTCTGGTGATTTTATGAGCAAGAAAAAGCAGTGTGTCTTGGGTAAAAATATGGACTTTGTAAGAATATCTTACATATAATATGTACAAACAAGTCTTCAGGAGGTATCATTTTCATTCAGCTCTACCAAAGTTTCTTCAGGTTTTTAAACTCATACTTGGTAAGAGCAAGAGATGAGCTGTGGTTAGGCAAATAATGACTGATTAATTCTTGGTATTCTCTGAATCACTTTAAAGGTTTGCTTTTGTCATCTTAAAATTTTGCCAAAATTACTCATAGCTAATGAAACCGAAAAGGTTAACACTAGATTTCTTAAAAAGAAATCAGAATCCTTCAAGTAACTTAAGAGAAATGCCCTTAAAAAGACATGTGTCAAATTGTTAGAAGACCATTTAAAATGCAGAAAAGTACTTAAAATGATATAGTAAGCAAGTCTGATAAACCCAGTATATCTCATTTTAAATAAATGTTACACAGATGGAAATGTTAACTAAATACCTCCTGGCCCTCACCAATTTACAGAGCCTGAACAAAGAACTAGCACCAAGTCTCTAAAGTGAGTAGTTCTGTTGTCCATGAGGCAGGTCTGCATTCCTTCTCCTTCTGATCTCGCCCTGGATGATGCCACTGTTATTCATACTGTTCTTGCCTCTCTGAGCCCGGTAGTATAATGATGCTTCTGTCTCTGTATTCACATTGTCCAGTTGCTGCAAAGATATTCCTCAACCTTTGTTGGTAGGGAAGAGAAGAAGAAAGGGAGCCCTAAATCTCTCCTCCACATAAGAAGTACTTTTGCTATCAGCCTGCAAATTTCCGGTTCTCTTCTTAGCTGACTGGTAGGCAAAGACTTTCCCTTTCAGAGC